ATAGTTAGGGTAAATAACACTTAAACAATTATACAAAATAAAAAAAATAAAACAAAATTTTAAGTTAAACAGGCAGAACTAGCGCGGTCGTAGCGCGATACGAGCGCGACCGCGCTAGTCAAAACAGTGTACTTGGCCATATGCGCGGCCACTAGCGCGGTCGCACTAGTGATGAAGATGTTGAGGCATAATGTTTTCCCATATGCGCAGCCTGTAGCGTGGTGGGTAGCGCGGGCGCGTTCCTGGGCACGAAAAGTTTCCATTTTTTCACATGTTCTTTCTGCATCCAATGGGCTTATGACCTACCCAAGCTCACCTACATTGGTTAGTACTTACCAAAATCAAAATTAACAACAACTAACTATCATTGGGTTGCCTCCCAACCAGTGCCTTAGTTAATGTCATGGCACGATAGTTACAACAAATCAATGGGTTGCCTCTCATGTAGGGCCTGATTTAACGTCGCGACACGACACAGATAAGCGCATTTAAGGTTTGCTTGACCTCTTAGGTTCAGTCAGATGGATCTCTGAGACTTCCTTTGGTTCATTCATGCCCACATATAGTTTCAATCTCTGCCCATTGACTCTAAATGTATGAGAGTCTTTCTCTAAGGAAATCTCTACGGCACCTGAAGGGCATACTTTGACCACTCGAAATGGTTCAGACCATCGTGACTTGAGTTTACCCGAAAATAGCCTTAATCTTGAGTTATAAAGCAAAACCATGTCTCCGGGATTGAAATTTCGCTCAACAATGTTCTTGTCATGTAACCTCTTCATTCTCTCTTTATACAACCTCGTGATCTCGAAAGAAAGATATCGGAACTCATCGAGCTCATGCAATTCTATGACTCTAGTTATGCCCACAGCCTCAATGTCCAGATTCAGCTGTTTCATTGCCCACCAAGCTCTATGTTCTAGTTCCACTGGCAAGTGATAGGCCTTCCCGAACACCAACTTATATGGTGACATACCAATTGGCATTTTAAAAGCAGTTCTGTAGGCCCAAAGTGTATCATCTAGCTTTTTTGCCCAATCAGTTCTTGTGGCGTTCACAGTCTTGGTCAGTACACTCTTTATCTCTCTATTCGACACTTCGACCTATCCACTGGTCAGGGGATGATACGGGGTTGCCACCTTGTGGCGTACATCGTACTTTGCTAACAATTTCTCGAAGGCTCGATTGCAGAAGTTAGTGTCTCCGTCATTGATAATAGCTCTCGGGGTCCCGAAACGGGTGAATATATTCTTCTACAAAAACCCCACCACCACTCTTGCATCATTGGTGAGAAGTGATGCAGCTTCCACCTATTTGGAGACGTAATCTACAACAACAAGTATGTACTTATTGCCAAAGGAGCTGATGAAGGGGCCCATGAAGTCTATCCCCCAGACATCGAACACTTCAACCTCTTAAATTGGGTTCATGGGCATCTCATGGAGACGGGAAATGTTCTCGGTTCGTTGACATTCATTACAGCCCTTCACCCATCAATGTGCACCCTTAAACACTGTTGGTCAATAGAAATCCATCTTCTAGCACTTTCGCTGCCATCCTGACTCCTCCAAAATGCCCGCCATATGCCGATGCGTGACATGCCTGCAAAATAGAAGATTATTCTATCTCGAGGACACACCTACGGATCATATTGTCAACACATATTCTAAACAGATGAGGTTCATACTAGTAATACATGCGTCAGTCACGATAAAACTTTTTCTTTTTCATAGAGGAAAGGTTATAGGGAACTATACCGGTTGCTAGGTAATTTGCAAAGTCTGCATACCATGGCACTTCCTCAAGGCTTGTAGCGAGTAGCTGCTCATCTGGAAAGGTTTCTAGAATATCCTCAACCTCAACAGAGTTTTCAGCTCCTTCAAGTCGTGATAGATGATCAGCGACTTGGTTTTCTGTGCCCTTACGGTTGCGAATCTCAAGGTCGAACTCTTGCAGTAATAGCACCTAACAAATCAGGCATGGTTTGGAATCCTTCTTCTCAATCAAGTACCTGAGAGCTGCATGATCAGCATATACAATTACCTTAGAGCCAATCAGGTATGATCTGAACTTGTCGAATGCAAACACCACAGCCAGCATCTCCTTTTCAGTCACAGTGTAGTTCAGCTGGGCTCTACTTAACGTTCTACTAGCATAGTAGATTGGGTGCATTAGCTTGTCTTTCCGCTGTCCTAGCACTGCCCCCACTACATAGTCACTGGCGTCACACATGAGTTTGAATGGTTGCTCCCAGTCGGGGGCAACAATGATGGGTGCTATGACTAGCCTCTTTTTTAGCTCCTCGAATGATACCCTGCAATCATCAAAAAACAAGAAAGGTTGATCTTTTTCTAACAACTTACAGAGAGTGTTGACAATTTTTGAGAAGTCTTTTATGAATCTCCGGTCAACCAGCATGCCTGAGGAAGCTCTTGATTGCCTTGACTAAAGTGGGGGGTGGCAGCTTTGCTATCAAGTCAACTTTAGCACGATCCACCTCGATTCCCTTGCTTGATACCCGGTGTCCCAAGACTATGCCCTCTTGTACCATGAAATGGCTCTTCTTCCAGTTAAGTACCAGGTTAGTCTCAATACATCTTTTTAACACTCGGGTCAAATTTATAAGGCACTCGTCGAATGAGTTTCCCAACACTAAGAAATCATCCATGAAGACCTCCATTATGTCTTCAACCATGTCAGTGAATATGACCATCATGCACCTTTGGAATGTGGCGGGTGCATTGCATAGGCCAAAGGGCATCCTACTAAAAGCATAAATTCCATATGGGCATATGAAGGAGGTCTTCTCTCTGTTCTCTAGTGCAATGGAGATTTGATTGTACCCTGAGTATCCATCCAGAAAATAGAAGTGGAACCTCCCTGCCAATCTGTCAAACATCTGATCAATGAAGAGAAGTGGGAAGTGGTCTTTCCGGGTAGCTAGATTTAATTTCATGTAGTCCATACAAATTCTCCAGCCTGTGACAATTCTTGTCGAGATAAGCTCATTGTTATCATTTTTGTTCACCGTCATACCACCCTTCTTAGGAACACATTGCACCTGGCTAACCCAGTTGCTGTCAAAGATGGGGAAAATGATTCTTGCATCCAACCACTTAATCACCTCACCACTTCCTTCATGTTGGGGAGAAGCCTTCTTTGGTTCTCCCTGGAAGGTTTGTGCCCCTCTTCCAGCAGAAATTTATGCATACAATATGCCAGGCTGATCCCCTTAATATCTGCCATGGTCCATCCAATGGCAGTCTTGCACTCCTTGAGTATGTTGTTATACCTGCACATCTAATAAACTAGATGAGATAATAATAGGTAATGTGGAGTTAGGTTCTAGGAACTCATACCTGAGATGGGCGGGCAGTGGCTTTAACTCCAGCTTTGGTGGTTCTTCTATGGATTGTTTGGCTGGAGGAGTTTCTCTGTTTTCTAAATGCAGGGGCTCGAATTCAAGTGTTCTATCCCAAAACCCTCTGCCCTCTAAAGCCAGACCCATTCTGCCAATTCTTCCCCATTCACCTCATCCAAGTTTACAAGACAAGCAGCAAGAGGGTCCTCAATAGTCAACATCTTATCATCTGCTTCTACGATTACAGCCACGACCTCAATAAGAGAGAAATTGGCAAATTCACTTGGTCGCCTCATACATTTCTGCACATTGAATGTTATCTCCTCATCGTTCAACCTCATCTTGAGCTCCCCAGTTTTACAATCAATGAGAGCTCTCCCTGTGGCCAAGAACGGCCTTCCCAAAATTATTGGAATTTCTTCATCCACCTTGCAATCTAGAATCACGAAATATGCAGGGAACACAAATTTCCCTACCTGAATCAACACATCATCCAAGATACCAGAGGGTCTTTTCACGGTTCTGTCAGCCAGCTACAATAACATAGACGTGGGTCTAGCTCTTCCAATCCCCAACCTCTTATAGATCGCCAGGGGCATAACATTTATGCTAGCCCCCAAATCACAAAGTGCCTTGGCAAAAGCAAAGTTACCAATGGTGCAGGGAATTGTGAAACTCCCTAGGCCAGACAACTTCTCGGCAACTGGTCTAGTCACCACAGCACTGCAGGTCTGAGTTAGAGTCACTGTGGCCAAGTCTTGGAAATCGAATTTTCGGGACATCAAGTCCTTCATCATTTTTGCATAACCAGGCATCTCCTTCAAAGCATCAATCAATGGAATATTCACCTGTATTTGTTTCAGCATCTCCAAGAATTTCTTGTATTGTTCCTCTTTCTAGTATTTGGCCAGCCTCTGTAGGAATGGTGCTGGAGATCTCTTCTTCCCAATGATTTGTGTATTCTCTTTGTCAGATACCACCTTAACTACCTGTTCCTGGGCTGTCTCAGCTTCTTTCTCAGCCTCAATCTATGTGTTGATTCTTCCTTGGTAGGTTATACTGTCACCTCTATCAGTTTCGTTGAATTATCTAGCTCAATGGGCACTGGTTCAAGTGTCTCAGCTTGTCTGCTTTCTCGAGCCCTCTCTTGTTCCAAGTCTAAGTCTCTGCCATTTCATAGACTTACTGCCATCAGCTGTTTTGGGCCTTGATCTTTTGGATTTACCTCCGTGTCTACAGGTAATGTCCTAGGAGGACGATTATTCAAAGACATCGAAATCCGGCCCATCTGCACTTCAATATTCTTTATAGCTGACTCATGTGCATCTACCCTTTCACTCATTTTCACATTTGACCCAATAACCTGCTGCATCATTGCCTTGAATCTAGCAAACCCATCTTCCTGTCTTCCCCCATGCTGCTGTTGAAGAGGAAGATAATCCTGCTGCTGATTTTGATTGTTGTATCCCTGTGGCCTTTGGTAAGGTGACATATTATTGTGAGGTTGCATACCTCCCATATTCCATTGTTGAGTTGTGGATGTACTGGCCTGTATGGCTAATTCTGTTGGCCCCAATTCTGACCACCCTGTCTTTGGCTTCCATATTAGACACATAATTCATGTCTTCAGGGTAGTGATGATGATCACTTTTTCCATTCCATTGGTTACCAATTGGCTGGCTAATGCAAGATGTGCATAAGCCCCCATTGGTAGTATCTAAAATGTGTACCTGCTGCTTCTGCCCTGACTCTTCTACCTTTTTGGTGAGTATACTCATCTGTGTCATTAATGTGGCCATATTTTCAGCAAGAGTGTTGGATGGATCTAAGGGCACTGAGTGAACTACTGGGGCGATAGGTGCATTCCTGGTTGTCCACCCCAAATTCTGTGCCATCTTGTCAAGCATGCTTTGGCTTTCTCTCCATGTTTTGCTCAAGAATGCTCCACTAGCTGAAGCATCAACATTGGCCTTTACGCTATCTGTCAAACCTATGTAAAACCGCTGCCCCAACGTCTGATCTGGAATACCGTGGTGCAGACATATCACCAACATCCCTTTGAATCGTTCCCACATTTTTTGTAGTGTCTCCATTGATTTCTGTTTGAAGCTCAAAATTTCATCAATTTGCGGAGCAGTCTTGTTGGGTGGATGAAACTTATTCACAAATTGCTTGACTAACTCCTCCCAAGTCGTGATGGAATTAATGGGGAGTAAGTTTAGCCAAGTCTGGGCAGCTCCTGTCACTGAGAATGGAAACAACAACAGTTTTATTGCTTCCTGAGTTACATTGGGATGCCTTTGAGTTTTGCAGATTGACAGGAAATTCTTCAAGTGCTGTTGAGGATCTTCAATGTATGACCCCAAAAATAGTCCCTTGTTTTGCAACAAGTGGAGCATGTTGTTCGTGATTTGAAATGACTCGGCCTGTATCTGCGGGACTAATATCGGTGTGGCCAAATTCTCTACTATGGGTTGTGCCCAGTCATATAGAGCAGCCTATGGCACAAGAGGTGCCACTGGCGCTAATGGTGCAGCTGGGTCTAACACGTTTTCCCCCTTGTCTGGTTCGAGTTGTTCAGTTGATTGTTGTTGTTTGTTTTTTCGGTTGGCCCGATTCAAAGCC